AGCCCTGCTGTCTATTGCCAACCTCATCGGGAAACCCCTTCTCATCGACCCTGCTACCGCAAATCTTGCTAAACCATCGTTTGCAAGAGTTTGCGTGGAACTTGATGTCACTGCGGATAGGCCGAATAGTGTTTGGATCCACCAAGGATCACAGGGATTCGCACAGGAGGTTTTTTATGAGTTCATATCCCCTACTGTTGCTCATGTAACTTGCTTGGTCACCGCAATTGTAACAAAGGAAAAAGCAAGGTTACTGAGCCTTTACCGGCCAACTCCACACCAAATATCCCTTCACCGGAAATTTCCCCAGCAAACACACCTGCTGACCTGGACCCTGTACCGGTCAAAAGCATACCCCAACCCCAGCTACCATTGTCAGTATGCCCCGCACCCTCTATTGGTACTGGCACCTTATCACAATCGCCCCCTGGAAATTGAAATTAATGGGGTCCCTACCCACATGCCAACTATCCCTACCCACATGCCAACTTCTGCTACTTTGTCCCCTATGCCTACACCCAAAACAAATCCTGAAATAGTGGAACCAGATCCCTCTCCCGACGAACTACCCCTATCCCAGGGCCCTCCCCCTTCCCTGCCCTCAGCGTTCACTCCCTAAATGATCTTCTCTACAAAGAAGGAACCCCAACAAGAATCACCATTGAGGACGACAATGGCTCAGACGGTGACACAGGCGAGCTGGAAGAGCCGAATTGGAAATCAGTCTCTACCACTCTGTCCAGGAAAATTAACAAAGCTTCTAAAGACAAACCGCTTCTTGACTCCCTAGTTTAGACTGCCTCTAAGAAAATTACCAAAGTAGTCTACACCAGGAACACTTCTCCTATTTCCACCAGATCTCAGAGGGCCAGAGAGGCCGCACAACCTCAAAATTTTTAATGATTATGCTAAATTGGAATTGTTGTGGTCTACTATCCTCTTGTACTAGACTACACAGTCTTATTCTTCAGTGGAACGTAAATTTTGTTACTATCATTGAACCTAAGGTCCTTATGTCATCGGCAGAACACTATCAAAACGTACTTGGCTTTACACACATCTACACCAAACAGGACAACCGCATTTGGATTTTGTGGAAGGACGACGCAGTTACAGTAGACGCGATGAATGAAAGCAGTCAATTCATTCATGTTAGAATTCTTGACAAAACTCAGGCTTCCGTTCCTGGCATACTGGTGTGTATGCTGAGCACTCAAAGGGGGAGCGGGTTGAACTTTGGAACGAGTTAACGAACCTTGGGCAGTCGGGGATGACTTCAATGTCATTGCTTCTTTATCCGAACACCATGGGAAATCATCACCTAAACTCTCAGAAATTAAAGATTTCAATGAATGTATCGCTCATTGCAAACTAAACGAATCAGTGATTGAGCACCATCTTGGCAAGACATCCTCCGATCACACCCCGATACTCCTAATATGCGACACTACCAAAGTTACAGGGCCCAAACCGTTCCGGTTTCAAAACATGTGGACCTCCCACCATTCCTTTTTTGAAACGGTGGAAAGAAGCTGGAATGCAACCTCCTCAGGAGGGGGGATGCGCCACTTTTACTCCAAACTTAAGAAGCTAAAAACTATCCTTAAAGAGTGGAACCAGACTACATTCGGGGACGTCTTTGAAGCCGTGAAGCTGGCAGAATCCCAAGTTGTCCAATTGGAGGAAGTTTTTATTCTAGACCCTAGTGAAGCCAACAGGGCTCTTTGGGCGAAATCCCAAACATAACTACTCCTAAAACTAAAGCAGGAAGAACAGTTTTGGAAACAAAGGGCGAAAATAAAGTGGTTGAGCGAAGGGGAGGCCAACACCAAATTCTTTCACAATTACGTCCGACAAAAAATGAGGGAAATCCTCTATAAGGTATATAGAGAACGACAGTGGGGAGCAATTTACCAACCAAACAGCCATCACTGATGCGGCGGTAGCTCACTTCACTGATCTCTACAGTGACACAGCAAGAACACCGAATATGGATGATCTGCTACAACACTTGCATCCCTGTGTTACGCAAGAGGAAAACTTATTCTTAACAACACTACCAACAACACAGGAAATCAAAGACACAGTTTGGGCCCTGAACCAAGACAGTAGCCCTGGCCCAGACAGCTTTAACGGGCACTTCTACCAAAGTTGCTGGAACATAATCCAGAAAGATATGACTACTGCAATCCATGTGTTTTTCCTGGGACTACCTATGCCTACTGCCCTATCATGTTCACTAATTGTGTTGATTCCTAAAATCCCTAATCCCAAACGGTTCAGACACTTTCGTCCAATCAGCCTGACCAACTTCATTAACAAGGTTTGCTCAAAGATTATCACTACACGCCTAAAAGCCTTTCTACCAAAGATAATCTCAAAGGTACAAATTGGTTTTATGGAAGGGGAAGACATCCATCACCACATTTTGCTAGCAAATGAGATCCTCCATCACATTGACAAACCGGTCAAGGGCGGGAATATCGCGGTCAAGCTTGATTTATCTCAAGCTTTTGACAGGGTCTCTTGGGTTTTCTTGGAGGCATCCCTTTTAAGGTTGGGCTTTGACAGGACGTTCTGCCATATAATCATGTCCAACATGGCCTCCATGCACATCTCCATTCTAGTAAACGGGCTAGTGCAGGGCTTTTTCAAGCCACAAAGGGGGGGTCAAACAGGGGGACCCTCTCTCCCCCTACCTGTTCCTAATAGCTACAGAGAGTTTCACAAGAGCATTACAAAGCCAATACGAAAACAGTTTAATTAAACCCTATCTAATTGGCAACCATCCAAGCCCGGTTTCTCAGCTCGGGTACACAGATGATCTGATACTCTTTCTCAATGGGACAACCTCCTTAGTCCGGAACCTCCAAAAATTCCTCAATATGTTCACTAGTGCTTCGGGACAGCTTATCAACTACAACAAAAGCACGGTGCTAGTCAGCAGGAAAATGAACCCGGGTAGGAAAAGGGGACTAAACAAAGACACCCAAATGAGCGTAACTAACCTCCCGGTGACCTATCTGGGGGTTGTCCTTCACCAAGGAATTACAAGACCAGCACATTGCACCAATATCCTCAGGTCCTTTGAAAATAAACTGCAGTCCTGGAAAAAGAAACAATTAAATCAATCAGGGAGACTAATTTTAATCAAGCACGTGCTCAACTCCATCCCAATTCACCACTTGGCAGTCACCAGATTCCCGAGGAAAATTATTTTAAGTCTTAACAGACTCATGAGTAATTTTTTTTGGGGATCATCAGGTGATAAGCACAAATATCACTGGAAAAGCTGGACACACATATGAAGACAAGGAAATGAGGGAGGTCTCAGCATCAGGTCACTCACCCACATCCAAGAAGCCTTTCAAATGAAAATTTGGTGGAATTACATGCAACAACAGTCCATCTGGGCTAAGTTTATGTCCTTCAGATACGCTAGACAAGGTACAATGACTTCAAAACCTTATGACTCCCCTACTTGGAAGCAACTATGCAAGACAACTCAACTCTACCCGTCCCTCATACTTTCAGTCAACGACAGACCATGGTGGTCACTTGAAAAAAATGGCCATTTCTCAATCAACAGTGCATACCATCATGCCAGAAGCAAACTCCCTACCACAAATTCCCTCTCCCAAAACTGGGATGCTCCTACACAACTGAAAATTAAAATTTTCGTTTGGAAAGTTTTGACAGGATCCCTACCATTCCCAGATAACCTCTCTCGTTTCCAATTAAACCTTGTTACAAGATGCCCTTTCTGTCTCAACAACCTAGACACTCAAAACCACGTCCTCTTCAGTTGCCCACTAATTAAACCCATTTGGAGGTTATTTTCTTGTATTTTGCAGGTCAGGAATGCACATCAAGAGGAACTAAAACAAACATTGTTTATCTGGTGGATGGGGAGGAAATCAAACAATATCAAAAGCACATTACGTCAAGCAATGCCACGAATAATCATGTGACACATTTGGAAAGCATACAACTCATGCATATGGGATGATAAACCATTTTCAAGACTCAACATCATTTCAGAAATCAAAAGCTATACACGATACTGGTGCTACTCCAACATACACAAAAAAAATTTCAATTTCGACGCTGAACTACACGCAGACGGTCTCATGCCATACATCAAACACAAAGAAAAACTCAAGACACAGATCAGGTGGTTAACAGACTCACCGGCTAACCTCATTCTCAACACAGATGCGACATTCAAGAATGGCTCAGGGGCGGGAGGCGCAATTCTTCGGAACTCTACCGGTGATCTGCTCCAGGCTTTTGGCTTCCCAATACAGGCCTATAACCCACTTCACGCAGAGATCCTAGCAATGGATGCCTCGGTTCACATCATCAAAGACAAGGGTTATAAAACTATCCAGGTCCAAAATGATTCTACTGTTTGCATTCAAATGACAGAAGTTAAACTTAAAGTTCCGAATTACCTGAAGGAGCCAATCAACAGATTGCGCGCGACGATAATTAACTCTCAGGCAACCGTTCTCCATCGCCCGCGTCAGACGAACGCCGTCGCCCACTTCCTTGCTCAGTCCAGCCTCAATACCGCTTCTACAATCCACTACACTCAGGATCTTCTTCCATCCAAAGCCTTGCGAGCCTTCTTCAACGACAAATATGGGGTCGGTTTCTTCAGAGACGCCGGGTAGGCTCGGTACCGGGGGAGGCTCTCACAGTCTCTCTCTACCATATCAAAAGGAAGGATCTCGAACTAGGGTAAGCCAACAGTCCTTTTGGCCGATTATGTCTGGCGGAGGGAAATATTCCCGACATTTGGATCGACGCTGCCCCCTTTTCTATTGGGCTGTCCATCTCGGACCAAGCTCATTTGTAATCCAGGATTGGCTTTCTGTAGGGGACTGGACCATTCCAGCCCACCACTCTTGTTTTGTACACTTGGTGACATTTAATCTAATAAAATTGGTAAAAAAAATGGATTGGATTGATCCGTGAATTGATCATTTGGCCGGGTTGGCGGGTTGGTTCCTGGCTCTTTTTTAAACGTAGATTTTTTGTTACACCAATAGATAGAATACTGGATAAGTCATATTTGCCTGTTGGCAAGGAACTCACCTAGAGACGCAGAAAATTCTCTTCTGATGCAATGGCCGGCGTTTCCCTCTATTCATCTTCTTCCTTCTCAGCTCTCTGTCTAGCTCAGAAGCAAAAACTTCACTTTTCTGTCTCTAGAGACAACCCGAATGTCCCATTTCTATCTCGCTCTCTCGCTTCTCTCCGTCTCAACTCTTCTCCCAACCCGCTTCCGGTATGCCAGCCATTCGTTACCAGATTCTCAGATTCCGGGTCTTCAGTTGCTGAATCTGAGCCCGATTCTTCGGTTATTAAATCCGAACCCCAATCTGAAACGTTAGTTTCCGAACCCCTGAAGCAGGAACCCAAGAGGGAAGAATTATTTGCGGTTGTTATGGTGGGTTGCATCAATTAATTTCTTAGTAATTATGTTTTCTTATGAATGTGTAGTAAAGGGCTTTGTCTATGCAGGGATGAACATTCTCTATTAAATCCATTCTTTATTGGAGTAATTTTTAATGTGTAGTTGCACATGATTTGTGTGAAGTTAGATTTTTAAAGCGAGAATTGCAAAAAATGTTGAATCTTTAGTTTGATATGGACTTGCTACTTCGTGCTGGTTTGACACTGCTGAATTGGAGCTCAATGTTATCCTTCAAGTTCAAGATTGACTGAACAGTACTTACTTAGTTACTTCTCTAGGGTGTGATTGGAAGTTGGAACTAGAGTTGGAGCTTTATTTGAAACTTAAAGTTCAGTATTTTATTTCTGTAGTTTCATTCTCTAGTCTAACTCCAGCACTAGAGTACTGCCTTATTTTTAGCCCTTGTTTGGTTAGGGAATATTGAATTGGAGGGAAGGTGAGATATGATGTTTATTTTATAACTCTTAAGTTATTCCAAAGAAATAAGATGGTAGGAAAGAAAGTGAATATGAAATCTTATACTCCATATATAAGTATACATTATTTACCTACATATACATATATAGTAGATATTTCTAAATCTAAGAGCAACAAATGTCCCCACAAAAAATTTAGATAAGAAATAAAGTTAAGTTCCCTATCTTTTCCCTCTAATATTTCCAATTAAACTGTCAAGAACTGTTCAACTTGTCAAGGCTATGCAGTTCCATTGTAGGAGCTTTTGTGATGAATAACTATATTGGGTTTCAAAGGCCACAAATTTAGTTGTAGTTTACTTCAACTAGAAGTGTTCTCATACAATATATTTTCTTTAGGTTGGATAAATGTCTCTCTGAAGTTCAAACTTCAAAGGTATGGAAACGCTCACTATGATTGTTTTGGGTATGATTCTTAATTAGGTTGGATCCCGCCAATATATTGTCTTCCCAGGACGTTTCATCTATACTCAGCGACTGAAGGGCGCAAACGTCAAAGACAAAGTGAGAATTTTGCCTTTCATTTATCTGCTTAGCCTTTTCACTTTTCTTTGTTAATGAAAAATTCCATAATACTAGGAGTCTAGGAGTCCTGTATATAGCAAATTAGCAATGCAGCTCTTCACCTACAAGGTTTGGGGAGAATAATTTAAAAATTTATTAGTAAAAAAAAAGAAAACACAAGTAGCAATTACTCCTCAAACTTGCATTTCTTCTGTATAGATTTTTTCACTAATAAAATTACTGCTGAGACACTTAAATAAAGGATTATTAGCTAAATATATCCCCAACTATCATCAAATTCACAAATCTATCTCATACTCTCACTTTTATTAAAAAAAGACTCGAACTTCAATTTTTCTCACAATTACACTTTCAATGGATGGATTAGTAAAACTTAAGAAGAAAATCATATAAATATTTCATATATTTTCATTTCTTTGTAGTTTTGAGTTTACAAACATGAATTGCTTATATCTTATTCGTATTGATAAAAATGTGTAATTTTGAAAAAACCAAAGGGAAAAGCATAATTGTTGAAAACGATGAAGTTAGAATCTTTTTTTTTATAAAAGTCAAAGAATAAGATAGATTTGTGAATTTGATGATAGTTTGGGATAAAATAAGCTAATAATCTTCAAACTTGCACATTTCTTCCGTATAGATTTTTTCACTGTGGAGACGCTAAAATAAATCACTTTGCAGATAATTCTAAACAAAGTGTTATTGGTAGGAAGCAAAACAAGCACCTGGATTGGAAAACCAGTGGTAACTAATGCAGCAGTTCATGCTGTGGTTGAGGATCAGGTGTGGTCTATCTCTCATTCATTTATTTATTAATCCTCATCAATATCTTAATCCCGTTTTTACATTAGTTTTCTGTACTTTCATTTTTTTTTGTATTTTTTGAGGGATAACCATGTTGAGGTTGGTAGCGTGGTATAGGGGGTGTTTGGATCTGATTCTCAAAACTGATTCTGCTCCTTCAGGGAGCAGAAGCAGAAGCTGGAGTGTTTGGGTGAAATTCCAGAAGCACTTCTGGTGCTCTAATTTACTCTCAGAATCAGTTTTTTTAGAAGCTAGGGGGTACCAGCTTCTAAAAACTGATTCTGATTCTGATTCTGCTTTAAAAAAGAAGCAGAATTAGAATCAGTTCCAAACACCCCCATAATGGTATTTATAGTGCTAAGTATTTGCTGAAAATTAATTAACACTAGAATTTCATACAAAATTGTAGAAATCCAAATCACGTTGAGTTCAGTAGGGCCGGACTCGGTTCGGGTACTGAACCGATTAAGGTCAACCCGAAACCGAACCGATATTTCGGTTATCCAAATAATCATAACCGAAACCGAACCGTTCAGAAACGGGTACCAAATAATCAGAAACCGATATTTCGGATCGATTTACCAAAAACCGAAATAATAACCGACATTCATTAAATAAATAAAATATTTGAACTTTTCAATACACCAGGCCCAAGTTTTTAGAAGCTCAAAAGCCCAATTTCACTTTGTCTAACATTCTTAAGGAGTATGTTAGGACTTACACGGTTAGATGAGTGAGTAGACATCCCAATATATAGCTGGTATTGAGGAGGAAGTTTTCTAATTTCTCCGGTGTGGGATAAGGAGCTGTGGAAACAAAATGGAAAACTGAACCATTGAATAAAAATAAAACGCCCCCGCGATTCGAACACGGGTCGTCCGTGACGATATCTCGCTTGGCAACCATCTTGCTGGGGAACTTTGTTCGTTTCTTTTGGACAGAATTTCATTTTATATACATTTAATAAAGGTCATTAACTATAAATTTCTTATAATTATTATTAATAAAATGTCGGTTCGGTTCGGTTCAAACCGATATATTAGAACTATAAACCGATTCCAAACCGTTTTTTTTTCGGGTCCCAATTTTCGAGTCCCAAATTACATCGGTTCGGTTCGGTTCGGTTTTTTTCAAAACGGTTCGGTTTTTTTCGGTTCGGTTTTCGGTTTTTCGGTCCAAAATGCCAGCCCTAGAGTTCGGTGGTGTGTATTTATAGTTTGAATTGATTGACAAATGTTAATTAATGCAGAAAAGCATAGTGTCAAATTGTCAATCTAAACCATGTTGAGTTCATCAGCTTGACATTTACAACATGATTGGCATAACGGAGGGAATACATAGGAAAACACATTCATTCTTTGGAAAAAGAATCTACAAGATATGCTTGTTCTAGTGTTTGGTTATTGAAAATAAAGTTATTCGGAATACTTATTCCGGTCTGTGGTTTACTTTTGGATGTCAGGAAATATAAGAGAATATAATATAGAGATAAAATATCCTCACTTTTGATAAAAAAAATGTTTTTTTTTGTCTTAACATGAACATTTTTTCTTCCTTCTCTAATCTCTATGGGGAGAAAACATTACTGAGGGTATTCCTCAAAGTTGAGGTGAAAAAAATCTCCACAAAAGAAAAGAAGACATCAACCCACCATGGGGGTAATTTGTATGCCTTAGTGCAAATGAACAAGAATGGCTAGCTTTTCACCCTTCAACAAAATGAGTTGCAGTGTCATTTAAATATTTAATTGTTAAAATTACTTAAAACTGTAAATTCATGCAAAAAAGACATAATAATTGAGACCATGTTCAGCTTGCTGGTGTGATTTTTTTGGCGTCAAATAAAGTTAATTAACACCTTTGTCCATTCAACAAAACGAGTTCTAGTGTCATATAATTGTCTAAAATTTCTTACAACTGTAAATTCATGCAAAAAAGACATAATAACCGAAACTATGTTCAGCTTTTTGGTGTGAAATTTTTGGCGTCAATTAAAATTAGCCAACAAGTAAGAAGCATATTGGCTGTCCAAATCATGTCGAGCTTTGCAGCGTGAAACTAATATTATCTATTAATTGAATAATATTAATTAACACTCTATTCATGCAAAAAGCATTGCTGCAAAGTTTTATGCTGATACCCCCTTCTTGGCACAGCCTTCTATAGAAGGAATATTGAGATGAAATTCTAAAACCGTTAACATCCTATTTTTTTCCACATAGTTATTGGATGATAAGGTTATTATATTCAAATATAAGAAGAAGAAGCACTACCGAAGGAAAATTGGTCATCGACAGGTATGCCCATATTCTTTTTGTTAGGACATATTTGAAATGAATGAGTAAATTCTCTTATATTAATATGCAATAAACTAATGATGTGTTTTTTTGTTCTTTTTTAAATTATGCAGCCAATTACACGATTAAGAATATTATCTATTGCGGGGTATGAAGACTATCCTGCTGTGACACTTTCAGATATTGAACCCATTAAATGACAAATTATTACAATGGGTTTTCCCTTGAACTTGTCTGTTTTGTTCCTTTGAACGTATGTAGTTATTACATTACTATCATATGGATATATAGGCTAATTTGGGATCCCTTCTGGACTTCCTAGAGAGTAGTTCGACAATGTTCACACTTAGGCTTAGAGCGGCACTATCTTGTGTTGAGGTTGTTGTATGGGTTCCTAATGTATGTGATTGATAACGTTATAATCAATTTTTTTGAGGCTCTGAGCCTCTGAGTGGCTTTATTGGGACCAAATTGTGCCATTAGTTCCTCTGCGGATTTGTGTCTGTTGTGTATATTGTAGTTGTACTAATGAATAGAAAACATTGTATGCACTTTATTAAATTTAAGCCGAGGCTGCAGAGTACAGAATGAGTTCATATTGGACATGAGTTAATATAAAATAAATGAGATCACTAAAAGAATAACAGGGGGGGGGGCGTATTAGTCAATTCATGATTTTGACCATTTATATATGGAAATTAATAATCCAACCTTTTGGCGGTCTTCTTACAATAGTCCCACCTAGGGATGGACTAAACCGGGCCGGGCCGGAACCGCTGGGCAGGAACCGCCGGCCCAGAATCGGCTCGGAACCGCCGGCCCGGCCCGGCACCGGCCCGGAACCGCCGACCCGGACCAGAACCGGTCCGGAACCGCCGGCCCGGAACCGGCTCGGCCCGCTACAGTACGGGCCCGGACCAGACCGGAACCGGTTGGCCGGTTCCGGGCTTTTAGCCCGTTTGGGCGGGTCGGCGGGGCCGGGCTTGGGCCGAACTTTTGTTGAACCGGCCCAGGTGGTTCGGGCCGGGCCTGGTCCAATTTTTTTTTCAATTTTTTTCTTTTTCTAGGGTAGGGTTGGGTGTTTTGAGGAGGTTTGGGGGGTAGGGGGTGAGGGGGGGGGGGGGTCGGGGGATAACAAGAAAGGCAAAAATAAAAAATAAACATGGAAAAGGGCCCGGCCCGGTTAGGCTCGGACCCAGAATCAACCCGGGCTGGTTCCGGGCCCAAGTAATTGAAAAAAAGCCCACCTGGGCCCGGCCCGGAACCGGGCCAGCCTGGAACCGGGCCAGCCTGGAACCGGAACCGGACCGGCCCAGGTCCATCCCTAGATTCCCTAGTCCCACTATTTCATTATTCATGAATAATTCAACCTTTTGACACCATTTTCATTCACCGGTCCCTGACCGATTTATGACCTGTAATTCCAAATTATTTTCTTATCTTTGCAAAACATTATGTGATCATAAAGTGGGAATTATGGTATAATGTTTACAAACATAAAGTTTTGGAAAATCAAGAACTGCTTCTCCAAAACTAGTTTATATTCAAGTTGCTCTTTAAAATAGAAAGTTGTCCATACTTGGGACTTAGGAGGGAGTTTATATTCTATAAAGGCAAATGGAACATACGCTTTGAAGAATTAATGCTGATGAATTTTAAACATTTACTAAACCAAGATAAACACTAGAACTCCCTGAACTACTCATCTCTATACAGTAGCATTGTAAGATCATTCATAAAGCATTCCACATTACATATCAGCCTCATAGACATGATTTAGTACAATCAACATACATAAGAACCAATAAGGGAACTTATGGATTGTTGATGCAAGAGACAAGCAAACAACATTTAATGTCTGCGTTTAGGTTGTGTCATACCAAACAAGAACCATTTTCTGACTCCTACGCTTCCTAGCTATAGTTTTAATCTCTTCTAAGATCCAAAAAAAGAGTTAAAACTATTCGTATAAATGCTTCCTTTTGAGAATGGTTGGAAATATAATGACAGAACCAATGAGGAATAGAACAGACAAAGTCTTGATATCATACAAATCCTTTACTGACTGCAAATCTCCGAGGGCAAGCCCAGCCTGTTTATCATATATAAATGTTAAGTGAAATATAAGCAGAAGGAACTTTGAGACTCATATATAGAGCTTGTTTAACTAAAGAACACAATAATGCACAAGTAATTGAACAATGTTTTCAGTAGCACCATTTCTTTTCCGAAAAGAAGACCCTCAGGGTTTTGGGCTATTCATATAATGTAACACAAAAAAAGAAAACAGACTACTGAAACAGTGAAACCTAATGTTAGGAATCGCTTACCCTGACAGTAATAAAGGCAGCGGGAATAAGACCAATTGCTGTGGCCATAAAGAAAATACGGAATGGTACATCCACGATTGGAGAGGCCAAATTGATAAAAAGGTTTGGCAAAGTTGGGGTCACCCTCAGAAATAGCATGTAATTAAGTAATGAATCCCCACGCTTTGCTATCTACAATCATTACATTTCACATCTGTAAGTATATATTTTCGGGAAATAAAGAGATGGGAAGAAGTAAATTATTAAGCGTCAGTTTGGCAGGTGTGGTTGAATGTAGCTAAAGTCTGCACCAAGGGGCTGAAATTTTAAAGATCCGATTGCATTACATGTTGGGGTAAAATAAATCGTCCAGTAGCTGATTTAATTAAACACATAAAAAGGCATTCCTAGTGTCGATTATACACCGATAGAGCATGTTATTTTGTAAAAGAATAAGGTCACCAGTGGAAACAAACAAAAAGCTACTAGTATGAGATTAATTTTGTACAGCTGTAGGAAAGAGCTTATAAAATAAAAGCTTACTTCTACAGCTGTTCAAACATAAGCTTTTTACTAACTCATTCTTTATGCTTTATAAGTACTAGTGTACTACTGCATTTCAAAGTTAAAATAACTTAGTTCCAATACAAGCTCTGCCAAACACACACTAAAGAGTCTGTTTGTCACGCATGGTTGAAACAGTAGCTTGAAGTTACAATACAAAGTAGTTAAAACTTAAAAGCCGATAAGTGAGTAGCTAGAGCTGAATATTGAAAGCTGTAACTGAGAACAGAAGTTTATTACTAAGTATAAAATTAAGGATCTGTTATCTGATGGTTAATTTGGTGAAACAATAAGGTGATTAGTGAGGAAAAGTATAATCTAGTTTTTGAAAAGCAATACAAGACTAGCTATTCCAAATAAGAGATCACCTTCAGCTTTTATTTATCTATCAAACATGACTAATAGATCACAAACAACATGCACTAATAACTAGTACACGATAAGCAAGGAATGTTGATATTGCATCTACCTCAGCTTGGAAAAATTTCAACTTTTCAGGCCATAACGAGTTTACTATAGGCCGGCCAATCAATTTGGAGAGAAAATAGCACGACGAAGCACCAGCTGTTGCATTAAAGATAACCAAGAAAAGCCCTTTAAGAACACCGAAAAGTGCCCCAGCAAGTAAGGACATGAAAATAGTCCCAGGAATCATAAAAGTCTGCATGAATATATAAGTTGAGCAGTAACCAATGACAAATCTTGCAGGGTATACTTCAGCGTACATTGCCAACTGCTCTCTGAATTTAAAAAACAACATATTACAAAGGCATAAGAAATCGAAAAGAGAGTTTACAAGAATATGATAAAGTATTTCATATTCTTGTCGACATAACACTCTGTTGGGATGGTTGAACTAGAATAAATTGAGTACGAAATGTTGTTGTAATGTTTGGAATTCTAATATATGACCACTCTGTCCACTACACAATGGGAAAAAAAAAACTTATAAGGGGTCATATACTATATGTCAAGGCCAGTGGGATACCATCATACAATTCAGGGCATGTTTAGTAATGGTTATTTGGCATAAATGATTTAATCTTGGTAGAACCTATTGAGCTTATGAAAGGATCCTTTTGGTAGAATCTCTTTTAGCCAAATAAGTACGTCAAAAGATACCTAATTATGCTGATTTGTGGAATACGTTAAATGAACCGACTATGACTACTATATAAAGCCTTAAAGTGTCAATTAGTTGTATACATTAGTTAACACTTTTCAAATGGCAACATAGAGTTAAGATATCTTATTATGCCTCATGAAGTCATGAGGCATGATCATACACGCCACACACACATGTCACACTAGCATAGGTTGAATAGATACACTCATACAAGGACCCAAAAGAATTTCAAGTGGGTTACACTTTCACTCATGGGGCATACTAATATTTCTGCATAAGCCTGGTAAGCACAAACAGTTTGGAACAACTTTTCAGAAAAACACTTATAACCTTACAAAACAGGATTATAACTACACACTCCAATGGATGCACTCTATTATTTAGACATTATTGTAATAGTTACTTTACTCCCTAGCATTTTACTGGTTACAACATTGGCAGCAAGCCAGCAACCATGGCATAAATGATCAATGTTAAAAAAGCCTTAGGTGCCAGCTAGGAAGGTGACCAGATTCTAGTAAACAGACGTTCTAGCAGAGGTTCACACCTTGCGAGGATTGTTCCAGACTAGGATACATATCTCATATCGCTATAGTGTACATTTTCTTGCTTGAACACTCAAGAAGTTGTCTATTTCTAGACTTAGTCATTGGACCAATACACATGGCTTTGATATTTCTAAATGTCTCATCGCTCTCCATTGGTTTACTCAAGTTCGATTCCAGAAATCTTCTACATCATGTGATTGTTCGTCCTATGCTCAAGAGTTTAGAATGCGATAACACTTCTTAATTAATCATTTCTGTCCCCAAACATAGCAAAAATCCATCGTGATACGTGTCTCAATGTGCTTCAGGCTAATTTTGGCATGAGACATACTGGTTCTTTCCATCTCGGTGAGTACGCATAACTTCAACTTACTTTACACAGTTTTTTTTGCTAGTTATGTTATAAGTAGTATTATCACTAAAAAGATCCATATTTCATTCTATTGGTGGGAAATCTAGTTCTTCAAGAATTTCCTTGCAGAAATAAAATACAATGAAGCTACTATCATTTACTAAAATATTAATCCTACAACAAAAACTTCATTGCATTTTCTTTTGGGTGAGAACAAATTGTTGGAAAACACAATAAAAGTGCACTCAAAAGAGCACATGAAAGTAGAGAACCCCAATAAATAAGCATACAATGATACCAAGCAAGTGAAGCATAAAATCAACAGAAAAAACAGAGTACTTGAGAATCCGGAGATCGGCAGCCGTACGTGGCAGCTTGAGCTTCCCATAACCGGCCGCAGGCATGGTCAAGTAGATGCAGAACAACCCAGTCGAAGACACCGCGAAAACCCCCAGAGCCGTCGCGAATTCCCAGTTGGTAAACTGAATCTTGCCTTCCTTAAACCGCTTACCCGTCGGCGATTCGGCAGCAGAGATCGCCGGGAAATCAAGATTCTTCTCCTCATCTCTGGCCAAACGCCCCGCGTCGATAACCAAGACCCTTGGGGCCGCCATGGAACAAACAACAATGCCAAGGATGATAAGAGTATAGGACCGGACCGAACAACGCCCCTAAGCTTCACTCACTCGGATTGGGCTTTAACTCTCCGGGTCGGGTCTTTTAACTTGCCGGATGAGTCTTTTTTTGAGTATTGTTAGAAAAAGGTTCCAGGCTCTGAGAGAAAGCGTTTGGAGGGGAGGAAATTTGAATTCTCAGGTGATAAATGCCAAATTCTTGAAAATGTTTGGGACAAAAAAAAGTCGGACTTTTTCGCCTTTTGCAATGATGTACGGAACTGAATATATACTCTCACAAAATTCAGCGTGACCACTGCCCAAGAGCGTGGTGTTGGACGGTCGGATGTTTCAAAGTCAAACACAGGAAAACAGGGACCGTGTTTTGAGGAGGTGAAAGTATGGGACAACGAATCTTTGTTTAGATAATTTTCCCGACAAAATTAGGGTTTCAAACAAACTTTATTACGTAATAAATGTACCCGTATTACTGTATGATACGCAAATAATCCTCAAATAGTCAAATATGTATTATATCCTTAAATAAGTGAACATATTGAATTTTACATTATTCACATGTTCTACTTTGATTACGTTTTATTTTGTAATGTACTACGTAGTACTTCCTCCGTCCCTTAAAACTTTGCCAACTTTCTTTTTTTGGATGTCCCACTAACTTTGTCACTTTCCCTTTTAAGTAAAGAATTTGTGGTTCTAGCTAATTCTCTCTCCTCTGCACAAACCTCAACCACACAATTTTTACTTTATTAATCCCCGTGCCGGTCAAACTTGACAAAGTTTTAAGGGACAGAGGTAGTAATATAATTTTTTGAAAAAAATTATGTTCAATTTGTCTCATTATAAATTTTCATAATCTTATTTTTTAAATTATTTTTACTAATAAAGAGTTATATATAATAACGGTCAAAGTTGTGTCTCGACAAATATGAAAAGTTGACCGTTGCACTTATTTAAGAACGGAGGATGTAATATTTTTTTGTAATTTTTCAAAAACTGGTCAAGAATCTTTTGGATCGAAAAATTAAATCTTTTCAAAGTGATAGTGGTGGTGAATTCATCAATTTCACTTTTCATAATAATTTTTTTAAACTCAGGCAAAATGGAGTGGTTCAATATAAACATAACATCTTCTTGAATTAACTAGGATCATGTTAATTGAATCTTCTATTTCTTCTAGTTTTTGGGTAGATGCTTTATATATAACCGCTTATATTGTCAATCGCTTACTTACACCACTTTTGAATAATTTAACTCCCTTTAATAAACTCTTTGGTAAATCTCCCGATATTAATTTTCTTTGTTTTTTTGGGCATGCTTGTTTTCCTCATTTTATTGCCAAGTCTTTCAATAAACTCTCACCTCGCTCTACTCGTTGTGTTTTTATTGGGTATGTTCCTGGTTATAAAGGTTACCGCTGTTTAGATCCATTATCCGGCAAGTTATATATTAGCAGAGATGTTCAATTTCATAAAAATGGTTTTCCTTACCCACATCTTCCTCCTCCTCCTCCTCCTCCTCCTCAGAAATTAGTCACCGATTTATCTCCCATGCATGCATAATATCCTACCGGCCTTCTCCATTGCTACCACCTTCTTCATCCTTCACACCTTTATTCCCGCCGTTCATACCTCCGCCTGCGACCCACATTAGTCAATCACGCCATCACCGTCTGGCCCAACCTCTCCCAGCCACACTACCAGCACCGACACTACCCCTTGTTCATCTTCTTCCCCTAGCTTCCTCGACTGTCAGTCCTCCCATGTGTCACGGAACTCAAACCCCGAGCCCAGTCCATCCTCTTCTCCTCGACCTTCTTCGTCTCCTACGACCAACCTTTCCCCCATCGACAGTTCAGTGTCCTCTCCTTCCCTAAGTTCGCCTCCTCAGTGTCAACTTGATTTTCAAGAACACGTTCGTGCAAATCATCTCTAACAGGAAATTCAGTTTGAAAAATAAAAGGCACTTGCTCCACCTCATTAGGAGCATCAATATGAGGAACAAGCACGGGCTAGACAAAGTCAAACAAGGAAGTTCATTTTCATTAAAAAATAACATCTCTACGTATAACTACTTTAAACCCCGGTTCACTCCTATCACAAAGCCTATAACCCTTTACCCCTTTAGGACATCCTAAAAAACACACTTCTTAGATCTAGGTTCTAGTTTATCAATCTTTTGATGCACATAACCCGCACATCCAAACACTCTCAAGTTTGTCAAATCTAGCTATTTACCTGTGAAAACAGATTAAGTGCATTAATTAAATATGCAGCGGTACAAAGCATTTTCCCACAAAACTTCTTAGAGAGCCTAGATGTAGCCAACATGGCCCCGCACTCTCCCAAAGAGATTTGTATTCATCCTTTCTGCAACCCCATCATGTTGGGGTGTGTAAGAAACATATTTATGCCTTTTAATACTCTAGGTAACAATAAATCATTCAATTGTTTATTGCAAAACTCAAGTCCATTATCTATCCTAATCTATCCTAAGAGCTTTAATTTTCTCTAATGTTTGGTTTTCTATCTTGATTTTTCAGTTTTAAAATATTTCAAAAACTTCACATCTTTTTCACGAGCAAAACCCAAACTTTCATAAAACAATCATCAATATAATTATGGAAAGAAATATTGGTTCCTTGTTCGATTAATGGACTCATATTGCATGTAATATTCATAATATATTATTTATTGAGTTTAATTGTATGTTATATGTTATCTTATATTTAGGCCGAAAGTTAGTGGTCCTATGAATATTAATTTAAGTGGGCTAATTTTGTTGTCTTATAAAGTAAAGGACCCAAATGTGCACAGGCACATGGACTTAACCTAATTAATGATATGATGGGCTGATTAAGGTTAAATATTCTCTATATATAGAGGGGTTATGGTGCCTAATTGAACACTCCATTCTGTCTTTCTGCATCCCATAAACATTCTCTATATTCACACAGAAAATAAACACAAGGAAACTAAAATGCAACTTTAGCTGGAAAATCAATTTAGTATTTATAGGACTTTAATTGTATGGAGAAATTAGCACGAGCAAGTCAGGAATAACGATGAACACAAGGTTCGGTTCAAATCCCTTGTTCTTCAATACAAGCACACATAAATATAATTTTCAGCAAATAGTAAAACAACAACTACAATACCAGAGTTAGCGGATTTCTACAATAATACCGGAATCACTACAAAAGCGATAAAAGGGAGTTTCAAGATGATATACCAGTGAAACCCTAGGAGAGGCGTTTCGGCCTTACCCAACTAATTCAAAACTGGGATTTTCTGATTTGTAGACCGTAGTTGACTAGTTTGACCACCATTGACCAGGAGTTGACTGCTCGTTGACCTGGTTCGGACCAGCTCTCAGCATCTGTGTACTGCCTTAACACGTATCTCTTTGTTCTCAGCATTCAGCTTCACAGTTGACTGCCAGTTGACCGGAGCCCCTCCAATTTTGACCAGACCTTTGTCCAACTTCTGAAATTGAACAGATAGGATTCCAGGTTCTTCAGTAAACGACGAAGCTTCAGGCACTTCAGCAGGCCTCCACGGTCGGCGTTAACGGTTGGCGAGAAATCTATGACGAGGGTCGTCTACGATCGGTGGCTCCCAGCGGACAACAACGAACTCCCAGACAGACGAGACACAGACTGCGACAAGCGATTTCATGTGTGTCTAGGTTGGACAAGTCGTGAGCAGACCTCCGGCGACTTCAAACAACAACGACAGGTGGTAGGTAGCTTCAGACAGCGAACTCCAGTGACGACAACCCTAGTCTATGTAGCTTGGTGGTCGGTTTCCGGCCAATCGTCTATTGTGTACACTTCTAGGCTAAGGGAGAAACTACCCTAGGAAGCCTTGCCTCACTCACTCACTACGTTGCAGAAAGAAGGAGACTAGATTCACAGAGAGGACACTAGCTTGCCTCACTCACTCACTCACTCACTACGCTGCCAAGAAGAAGATGGGTCCGACATTTTGAAAGGGCTTCTTCCATTGCTATAAGGAAAGAAGTGTGAGCTAGCCTATTTACACATAAGGGAAGTTTGAATTATTAGCAGATGTATTGGTCGACACAGCATTAATAAAATAGGTAGAAATTCACTTGTAGATGTCAAGATTTATCAAATTAAGACATACAAATGAAACATTTGATATAATCAGTGTTACTAGTCTTCTCATCAAACTTTTCCAATCTCCAACCATAGCTTCCTCAATATATATAGTTAAAGCATCTCAATTCTGGTTGGATATGAACATTTGAAATCTTTAATCAGCATGGAAACAATGTTGAGAAGTACAATGTAAGTTCCTTTTAGTTGAGACTCATACACGGAAAGCTAATGTCATGCATGCCACAACGAATAACATGTTGTTGGGACAATCATGATGAAAATGATGATAATACAAGAGCTTCATGGACAATTGGGCTATGAATTAGTTGGGAAGTAGTCAAACAGATGGCTAATGTGATCATCGTCATCGTCTCGCATGAGCAACGGCATATTCGAAAATGAACAAGATGGCAACATCCCCATGGTATGATCACTATTATTGTTAGTATTATTGTCATAGTAGTAGTAATTATTCATCTTGTTAACATCCTCTTGATGATCTTCATGACTAGCCGTGGTGACCGCGGTGGTCGGGCTATCTTCTAGTACATGATTAATCTTCTGATCATAGCAACCATCATCATCATGGTTGGGATGTTGGTGTTGTGGGGACTCAGTAGGGAATCTGCATGGGAAATTGTTATCACCTGATACTAAATTATGGTTGAATGTGGCAATAGAATTTGATCCTTGTAACGTTGTTGATGATGATGGTATTACGAAAGAGTAACTCTTATGGTCTCCAATATAGTAATTCGAACCAGGAGTGTGGATGTTCCAACTTATTGCTCCATATCCTCCCCCTTCTAATGGTTTGTTGTTATTTGGAATTGGTTTCTTGAATGCACGACATACTACCCATCCTTCCTCCTGCAATTTCCAAATTCATTTATATATGTGCATTTAACTTTCTCTTCTCTTCAAAACTGAACTTATTATAACTGTTAAAGATAAACAGTGATAAAAACACATAACTCAAAGGCCGATTTGTTTATATATTTGTACTTAATTGATATGATTACTTTTCATTTACAAGAATGATTGTTTTGATTTCTAAAGATATATTTTCTGAAATATTATTATGCCCCACACAAATTCATAGAAG